CAAAAAAAAAAAAAAAACCCCAAAAAACCCCAAAAAAGTCAAGCCCAAATAATACAGCTCAAAGACCCGGTTGAAACACCCCTGTTTCTCTTCCTGTCATCAGGATTACACTGTGCTACCAGTGTGACAAAGATAACAGAGTCCCAAAGCGAGTGTTTTGGGGTTTTTTTGCCCTTTCACCTCCTCATCGTTCTGGAAAACCTGGCAAAATATTAGGGGAAAAAAGCCCTATAAGCAAACCTCCAGGAAGAACAGCAGCCCACGCTTCCTGCAGGTGTCCCTAATCCGGACTGCCTCGGATTGTCTAAACTCTGCCCAGAAGCTGGGCGTCTCCCCACCCCCCACCCCCCTTGACTCCCCCTGCCCCTCCTTTCCCACCACCCGCCTCCTCCCTTGACCCCCACAACATCAAGCAGGCCCCCCCATATCCTCCTGGCCACCCTCCCCGCCCTCCTTGGTCAGTGAGGCCATCCTAGGCCAGTGAAATTCCAGCAGCCAATCCGGCCCCCCAACCATGAAACCACCCCAGGCACTCCCCACCCCCATCCACTTAGGGGTCTTGGCGCCTGGATTGCTCTGGCTTCCTTCTCCCTGTCCCAGTCCGGGTTTCACTTCCTCAAGGGCACTTCCCTGACCGCAGGCTCCGTCTGGCCTCTCCTCTGTGGCCCACGAAGACACAGGCTCGGCCGTTTTGGCCTCTGCCACTGCCCCAGTGTCGATGGGGGCTGCCCTTGAACAGAACAAATGGTTGCACAAGAGGGGAGACTTTCGAGAGGCAAAGAGCTGAGCTCTGCATCGCAGAAAACAGCCATGGTTTCGGGGCTCTTGGAAAGGGAAGTGTCTCTGGGGACAGTGGAAGTTCACCTTCTCAAACTCTCTGGTGCTGAGAAGGGGAAAAGAAAACGCCCAGAGTGACGCCGCTTGGGGGGAGTTGCTGGGGAAGAGGGGGTCCCGAGAAATTTCCAAGATTCAGCAAGAAAGAGCATCCTTCAGAAGAAAAATTTTCCCTGTGTTGCCAAGTGCGGGTCACCCTTCTGCTGGGACCAGAAGGCTGGGAGTCTTTTCTCTTTCTCTTAAAAAAAAAAAAAAAAAAAGGGCTGGGTGCAGTGGGTCAAGCCTATAATCCCAGCATTTGGGGAGGCCGAGGTGAGAGGATTGTTTGAGCTTGCCGAGACCTCGTCTCTTCAATAAATCAAAAAATTAGCCGAGCGTGGTGGCACGTGCCTGTAGTTCCAGCTACTTGGAAGGCTGAGGCAGAAGGATCGTCTGAGCCCAGCCGGTCGAGGCTGCAGTGGCCGTGAGTGTGTCACAGCACTCCAGCCTGGGCAACAGAGTGAGACTCCGACTCAAAAAAAAAAAAAATCTCTCTATATATAACAAAACACACACACACACATATATCTATATATATATAGGCCATGTGTGGTGGCTCACACCTATAATCCCAGCACTTTGGGAGGCCAAGGCAGGGGGAATCACTTGAGCCCAGGAGTTTGAAACCAGCCTGGGCAACATGATGAGACCTCATCTCTACAAAAAATTAAAGCCGGGCTCGGTGGCTCAGCCTGTAATCCCACGCCTTTGGGAGGCTGAGGTGAGTGGATTGCCTGAGCCCGCGGGTTCAAGACCCGCCTGGACAACTTGGCGAGACCGCGTCTCTACTATAAATAAA